GTCCCCGCTGTGGATCTGGTTAACCCCATTTTACAGAGTATGTTCAAAAGATAAATAACCATGTATGTCACTAAGGTTTAAGAAGTCAGCACAGCCCTGGCCAGTGTGAGTGGATTAGGCGGCGTCCTGTGCGCAGAAAGGTTGCTGGTTCCATTCCCAGGCAGAGCACAGGCCCCGGCTGCAGGCGGATCCCTGGGAGGGGGCGTGCAGGAGGCAGCTGCTTGATGTTTGGCTCTCAGATTGATGTTTCTCGCTCACTTGCTCTCTTTTCCTCTCTAAAAGTCAGTTTTCCCTCGGAGGAAAAACATCAGTTCAGGTGCCTTTGGCCCTCTGAGCAGTACCATGGTGATCAACAAGAAGGGAACCAGGAATTAAGTGTTTTGATCCATTTTCTAGGAAAGATTGGTATAATGTGAAAGCACCAGCTATGTTCAATATAAAAAATATGTATTGGAAAAACACTAGTTACGAGAACTCAAGGATTTTATGTAAATAAAAAATAACATAAAACATCTTTAAAGAATTTTATTATGGAAACACAAGGGACTGTAGTTAAGCATGAAATAATTTCATTCATGATAATAGATACACATTATAAAAATGTGAAGTAAACTAGTTGACACCCCAACTCTTAAAGGATTTATACATATTGAAATTTTTATTCTTTTGCAAAGACATAATCTTAGCTATAGAAGGAACACATTTAATCTAAATATTCAATGTAATCGATATAATTCTTAAGTCAACATACATAAAACCAGTTGTATTCATCTTTGTTAAACAGCTGTACAAAGCTATTACCATACAATACGAAAGGATTCTTTAGGAAATATTTCAAACCGTAAGTCTGGAATGCATGTTTTTTCTGATACTATTATTCCACTAATTACAACGGTCAGATGTTCAGTGTACCTCCTATAGAACTGGACGTAGGATTATATATGCTGAAATTAAATCACTTCAAATTCTAAGAAACTATAAACAGATATGGTTCCAAGATGACTTTGTACTAAATCCAGCAAATCTTTTGTATTATGAAAAACAAGTTTAATGTTTAGAAATCTTAATGGATGAAATTTAGTTGAATCCAATATATTCCTTTGCAATTTTGTCCTCTAATTTTAAACTGTTAACTCTATATATTAAGAAAATTTAAAATAAGCCATTTTTCAATAAGGAATTGTTCAATTTCACTTGCGACTTTTTTAGAGCTAACCTTTTAATACATATTGTGATATAAAGCTATTAGCAAATAGCAAAAACTATTTTAAAAACTGGACCAATAAAGAGAGAATATATTGAGATGCAAATCAGGAAGTAGTTATTTGCTTTACAGAATGTTCTTAAATATACAGAATAATTCATAACATATGCCCTCTAACTACTCATGCATTTAAAATAAACGTACCAAAAAAAATTCAACTGACATACAACTAACTTTTAGAAGCCCCACCAATTTTATAGAGGCACCAGTTTTACCCACAAAGGGCAACAAGATGTTTTAACAGTTCAAAATAAACAGGCCAAAAAACAATTTTTCAAAAACAAAACAGTACATATTCACTGTGTCCTTCAAAAAATTCGTAGTAGCCGGACTGGTTTGGCTCAATGGATAGAGCATCGGCTTGGGGACTGAAGGGTCCCGGGTTCGATTCCGGTCAAGGGCACGTACCTTGGTTGCGGGCAGATCCCCAGTAGGGGGTGTGCAAGAGGCAGCTGATCGATGACTCTCTCTCATCGATGTTTCTAGATCTCTATCTCTCTCCTTTCCTCTCTGTACAAAATCAATAAAATATATATTAAAAAAAAAAAAAAAAAAAAAAAAAAAAAAAAAAATTCGTAGTTTTTTTAAAGCGTATTTTTCAGCCCTAACTTGTAACATACTTTGACCTCCATTTCTGCTTTTCCTTGAATCAATCTGGACTGTGTAGACTGTCCCGAGATAGAGGCATCGACAATGTGGATTAATATCCTGAAAAACATACCATCTATATACAAGTAATAAAGAAAAAAGTTCCCAAGTACAACGCATACTCCTGAGGTTGTAAAACCCACCAGTCTAACAAAAAGCACCAAGATACAGGTGTCAAAGGAAGAAAAAATAGAAACCAGCAGAGTCAATGTCACAGACCTTATCAAATAAGTTTTCTTTGTTTGATTGTTTTGCATTTGGGAGACAAAATAGTATCAACTAGTTTACTTCACAAATGCAAATAAATAAATGAATTTAGCAATCTCATCTCTGCCCTTAACGAAAATTTGCTTATTAGTGTAAATAGAAAAGTGAGGTTGTGCTTAATAAGGAAAAAGTTACCAAATTCTTCTTACGGAGAAAAAAAAAAGGATAATATTTTTCTTTTCAAAAATAAAAAGTAAACTTTGAAATGAAGTTAAGGCACTTAATTCAATGTTTTTAAGGGCAAAGTATGTTTTTTGTTTCTTGAAGAAATTCCTTCCACACAAATACCACAAACTTTGCTCCTTACATAATAGATTTTTTTTAATCCTCATCCAAGAATATTTTTCCATAGATTATTAGAGTCGAAGAAAGAGGGAAAGACAGGCAGAAATATCAATGTGACAGAAACACATTGATTGGTTGCCTCCTGCACACGCCCCAACCAAGGCCGGGCCAGGGCCGGCAGGAGCCTGCAAGCCAGGTACGTGCCCCTGACCAGCGAGGGCACATAATAGATCTTTATTGTCAAACCTAACAACTGTGAGTTACCCAGACAGGATTACTTACAGAATGCTTAATCATTTGTTACTCTACAAATAAAGAAATTAATTAAATGCACTCAGTTTTTCAGTACTATTGTTTTAACTACAGTTAATATAGAAACAAATAAGCTTACTTCTCATATCCAGTATTATTATTTCTATATTGAAGATCACATTTTCCTTTTTAACATGCTGAATGAAAAATTCATTATTTTGCCGAAACCAGTTTGGCTCAGCGGTAGAGCGTCGGTCTGCGGACTGAAAGGTCCCAGGTTCGATTCCGGTCAAGGGCATGTACATTGGTTGCGGGCACATCCCCGGTAGGGGGTGTGCAAGAGGCAGCTGGTCGATGTTTTTCTCTCACTGACGTTTCTAGCTCTCTATCCCTCTCTCCTCCTCTCTGTAAAAAATCAATAATAAAAAAAAAATTCATTATTTTGAAAATTCAATGCAAGTTTCTCCAAATCTGTTTTATTTAAGAAATAAGTTGACAGAAGCAAAAGCAACTTATTGATATGCCACAAACAAAAATAAAACAACAAAAACACAACAAACTAATTCTGCACATTTGATCGTAATGTAAATCAATAAAAATTCAATTAAATATTTCATGCTGCATAGAAAATAGGCTGCTTTATTTTCCTTTCAAAATATGCAAGCTGACTTTTAAATCACCATGTTTTACATGTTCGACGTAATTAGGTTAACTATGGAAATATTTTCATAAGGCTTGAGGCTAAATATTAGTGACTCACTATTAAGATGTACAGAGAACCTGACATACCTGTCTACAGTTATCTTAATTGTTAAAAATTACATAAAAGCATGAGAACTAATTAAATTAAAGCACCAGATATGACACAGCCATTAAACAATTCTTAAGCTCCTAAACAGCAAAGCATCCTAGAACTAGTCTAAGAATGAATGTGCCTTTGTACTTTTAAAATATATTACAGAAAATAAAGATAATGGAAAGATGTTCCCTTTTATTGTAGAGTAGTGAAACTGTAATTTTTACAGTTCTTTGAAAACCTGGTCATTAAATAGATACTATGTAAGATAAAAATAAACATGCATCCCATCCTAGCCAAATAAGTCATTTTAGATTTTCTTTTAATAAATGATTAAAATATGAAAATATTTAACTTAGAGGAACTAAGTGCTGTGAATTTTATAATTGCCATTTTGTTCTTAATGTTGAAGACTGCCTCACAGTTTCACAATAATAGCACTTTTGTTTTATAATACGCCCATCTGTAAACAGAGGTATATTTAACAGCATCTGCACGTATCTCCAGAAACTGTAGCTCGTTTTAGTGTTACATATATTTATTCTGACAATAATTTTTTACCTAAAATTCTAGTATAAAACATGTGAATAGGTTATAAATCCCATATTTGTATTTTTAAAAACCTGATCAACATTCTTTTTTAAAAAATATGTAGGTAAAAAGAGTTACTATTTATCAAGTAACTATTTAACAAGTTACTATATAACAAATTCATATCAAGTTTATGAGCATAAGTGACAAAAGTCATAAAGTAATAAAATGCAATATCATGCACTATGTAAATTACTAAGAAAGTGCTCACTTAGATAAGCAGCAGATGAGAGCAGTATCATGGAAAATCTGGATATATCTTTATATATGTGTGTGTGTGTGTGTGTGTGTGTGTATATATATATATATATATATATATATATATATATATATATATAAAATCTTAAAAATCACTTTCCTTTATGCCATTTCCATTTTAATTTAAGCGCCACATATTAGTGCCAGCTAACATTTACATTAGCTTTTTATTGTAATATTTCAGTCCTATTATAAAGCATAAAACACCTTAAGAAACTGCCTTGAATGTGAGAATAATTCTCTTCTCCTATTCTATAATTATATCATATTAAGTATACATTAAATGTTATGTTTTAAGAACTATACTCAGACCCTGAATATAGTCAAATTCAAGATCACTGTTATGATAAAATAAAGATTTCTGAGGAAGTTTTTATAGTAGTTTGGAAGGTGAAATCTTTAAAGACCATGTAACAGTAAGAAGAACCGCTGGCTGGAATACTGCGGAGTGGTAATCTTTAACATTTACCAACGGCCAGGATGTTAACCTTCGGTTGCCCTCAGAACTCTGGGTCCAGTTAATGGCAGGAGAGGAAACGCAGCAGCAGTTCAAATGTCCGTACTCCGGGTTCCAAAAGAAGCCCCATTGGTAGAAGAAAATGAGCATTTTACTTCAGATGGACCAAGTCTCTGCTATTTTCAAGACTGAAAGGATATCACAGTGTTGATTTTATATACAAAGTAGGATCTGTTCCAATACACTCTAGTGAAATAATTCACATATGGAGAATAGTTAATTTTGACCTCGTGACAAAATCGCCCGTATTTTGAGTAGGTTAACTTGTCACCCTCTTCACAAACCACCTATCAAGAGATATGAAACATAATATTAAAAGCTTATTAAGGTTATAGGATAAATAAAATCAAGGTACAAATGACCACATACATTTGGGAATATATTATGCTAAACATGAACTATCTCACATTGTTCGGTGAACATCTCATATTGTTCAGTGAAGAGGAGCCTCTTCATTAAGAGTAACCATATACACTAAATTTCTGAGCGTCCCACTGAGACTGAGAAACCAGTATAAAGTGTTTCTAATTTTTAAAATATTAATCCTAAAATATATAATAGAAGGCTATAGCTCCATAGTCCACCGAGAACCTTATCATGGCTGAAAAATGAACATCAGGGTGGGGCAAAAGTAGATTTACAGTTGTTCATATAGAAAATAATATGCTGCCGAAACCGGTTTGGCTCAGTGGTAGAGTGTCGGTCTGCGGACTGAAGGGTCCCAGGTCCGATTCCGGTCAGAGGCATGTACGTTAGTTGCGGGCATATCCCTAGTGGGGGGTGTGCAGGAGGCAGCTGGTTAATGTTTCTCTCTCATCGACATTTCTAGCTCTCTCTCTCTCCCCCTTCCTCTCTGTAAAAAATCAATAAAATATAAAAAAATAAATTAAATAAATTAAACTGTTTCTGCATACTCACAACTATAAACTACTTTTGCTTAGTCCTATATTTTTAAATTTTTGATTTGAGAGAGAAACATCACTGTGAGAGAGAAACATCTATCAGCTCCTCCCAACATGCACCCAATTGGAGACTGGGCTGCAACCTGGATATGTGCCCTGACCAAATACCATGTTTTGGTTCAGAGGGCAACACTCTAACCAACTGAGTCACACTGGCCAGGGATATGTTCTTAATGTATATTCAAACATTCCTCCTGGTATAGAACTGACATACAATTATCTAGTAAACAAGTAAATTTTCGTGACTTATCCAGTGCACACCTTTACATTCCCACCTTAATGATGTTCATTAAGATAGCTTAGCTAGCCAAAACCGGTTTGGCTTAATGGATAGAGCGTTGGCTTGGGGACTGAAGGGTCCCGGGTTCGATTCCGGTCAAGGGCATGTACCTTGGTTGCGGGCATATCCCCGGTAGGGGGTGTGCAAGAGGCAGCTGATCGATGACTCTCTCTCATCGATGTTTCTAACTCTCTATCTCTCTCCTTTCCTCTCTGTACAAAATCAATAAAATATGTTTAAAAAAAAAAAAAAAAAAAAAAAAAAAAAAAAAAAAAAAAAAAAAAAAAAGATAGCTTAGCTAGCTTGAAGGATTTTCTATAATAAAACACTAAATGTTATTTTAATGCCAACGAAAGATGTCAGAGAGCCAACTTTAAGAGTAAAATGATAGATCAGCGTTAAGTCCATGACTGGCATTATATGCAAGTAACCTGATCTTTGAAAGGGAGCATAAAGGTAGCTAAAAGCAGAATAAAAAGACTTCAGATAGCAGATAGCAATACAGTAATTACTGGATACCTGTGATGTTTACTAAAATTTCATTTTGTCACCGATTAAGCAAAAGACCTCAGACATCAAGTACCAACAGAGAAAATTCAAAATATATGCAGCAGAAAACAGAGTAAGTCTATATTATAAATTTGAGGGGTCATGAAGAAAGAGAAAGATTGGGGCCCCAATCAGGGCAGGCCCACCAGCCAATCTCCCACTGTCTCCTCCTCCTGGCAGGCCCTGCCCGTCTTCTGATTGGAACTGGACCCCACCCATGCAGGAATGCGTGCACTGGGCCTCTAGTCTATATAATAAAAGCCTAAGCAATCATTATGGCGGAATTATTATTATGATGTGCACTGACCACGAGGGGGCAGACGCTCAACGCAGGAGCTACCCCCTGGTGGTCAGTGTGCCCCCACAGGCCACTCAGCCAGAAGCCAGACTCAAGGCTAGCGAACGCAGCAGTGGTGGGGGAGCCTCTCCATGGCAGCACTAAGGAGCGGCAAACTGAGTGGTAAGAAGCAGCGAGAGTGAAGGGTCCTGGACTGTGAGAGGGTGCAGGCCGGGCTGAGGGACCGGCCCCCCAGTGCCTGAACTTCATGCTCCGGGCCTCTAGTTGTTACATAACTTTTCATTATATTCTTAGCCAAGTTCCCAAATTATGTTTGAAGAGTACAAGTTTAAATAAAGCCATTTTTATTAAAAAGAATTAATTTCCATGTAAAGGTTACTTACATGGCCATTTGCAATGTCTAATAAATCTTTAATCCTACAGCCTCTCCTGGTTCCCACCTCATTGCAGATAGCATCCTCTACAATTAGGTAATTCGCTTTGTAAGACGTCAGTATTTTATAAATATCCTCTGCAGATCGCTTTGAATAGATTTGATAGATCTGAAAGAATATAATTAAAACAGTTATTTTAAAGGACATTTAAAACTTTTGTTAACCAAAACTACACATTAATTTTTCTCTGCTATGTTCTTAATACTGAGTACTATCTGTGGGAAATAAAGATATTCACTGAAACTTGATTCCTGCCCTCAGGAAGTTTATAAAAGTATTCCTATGTAATTAGCCGTTTGTATATCTTCTTTGGAGAAATGTACATTCAAGTCTTTTTATATTCTTAAAGAAACATTCATTTCTTGTTCCACTTATTTATTTATTCATTGGTTGCCCTGACCAGGATCAAAACCACAACCTTTCATATAAGAATGATGCTCTACTCAACGAGGGCTACATTCAAGTCCTTAGCCTACTTCCCCCCAGCTTTATTGAAATATAATTAACACATAACATCATATACATTTAAAGTATACAATGCGCTAATTTCATATATTTTAATATGGCAAAATGATTGACACCATAATGTTAGCCTCCATTATGTCACATAACTATCATTCCTTTTTTTTTGGTAGATTAAAGACCTACTCCCTTAGCAACTTTCAAGTATAAATAAAATACAGCATTAATAACTATACTCACCATTTCGTACATTAGATCCCTAGAACTTACTCATCCTATAACTGGAAGTTTGTATCCTTTGACCAACATCTCCCAATTTCCTACCCTCTAGACCCTAGTAAGCACTCCATGTTTCTATGAATTTGGCTTTTAAAAATTCAATATATAAGTGAAATAATACAATATTGTCTTTATCCGACTTTTTCACTTAACATGGTGCACTCAAGATTCATCCCTGTTGTTGCAAATGGCCTTTGTCCATTTTTAAATTAATTTGTCTTTCTACCATTGAGTTGCAATAGTTCCTTTAATCTTTTATATTATTATATATCAGAGTATTTTATACTCATTCTATACATAAAATAAAGACAGCAAGGTTAAAAATAACTTGACCATTGTCATAAAATACTGAATGAGCCAAGAATGCCTAAAACTCAAGTTTTGATTACTATGCATTTTTCAATTTTTCTTTTGAATTTTTTTTTTTTAATTTATTTGAGAGAGAAAGGAAGGGATAGATGGATGAATGGATGGATGGATGGACAGATAGATAGATAGATGACATTGATTTGTTGTTTCACTTATTCAGGCATTCATTAGTTGATTCTTGCATGAGCCCTGACTGGGGACCTGCTCTAATTAGATCATGTCTCCAGACATTGATAAATGACCCCTAGGAGCATAGTTGTCCCAGGTTTGAAAATCAGTGGCATAGGGGATCAGACAAAAATCAGTCACATGTCATGAATTATAGATATGTGTCTAATTCAAATGATATGGTCTCTGAACATTAAGTAACTAGATACCATTCTAACGTTATACTAAGTATAATAGCCCACACTGAAACATAAACCATAGTGTAATAGATTTTTAGCTTGGAAATACAAAGTGTATCAAGAAATTAATTGACTTCTTTCCTTCAATAATCTGAGAACAATGTATTATGCAGCTTTTTAAAATTTAAAGATAATTAACATTTTAAAAATTATTTGGATTTCCCCAGCTAATCAGGAACATATGCATCATTACAAAACTATACTAAAATGAAGTGATGTCAAAAAAGATCCAAATATAGAATCTAAAATGCCTTACATTTTCATTCCTCTTGAGAAGATCATCATCATTGTAAAGAGGCAAGCTTGTCACCATCCATCCAGTGCATAATTTAATCACACCCATCAACTGTGGACTCCCTGCAAACACAGCTGCAACTGGAGCTTGCCTTCTGCAAAGAACCATAGAGATTTAGATACTGAAAGGTAAATATATTACTTAGATCACTCATTTATATAAACTCTGAAATACCAGGCAACTTACATTTTATTTTATTATATTTTTATTTTTTTAATATATTTTTATTGATTTTTTACAAAGAGGAAGAGAGAGGGATAGAGAGTTAGAAACATGGATGAGAGAGAAACACTGGTTTCAGCTATTTTATTATATTTTAAAATATATTTTATTGCCGAACCGGTTTGGCTCAGTGGAGAGTGTCAGCCTACAGACTGAAAGGTCCCAGGTTCAATTCCAGTCAAGGGCATGTACCTTGGTTGCGGGCGCATCCCCAGTAAGGGGTGTGCAGGAGGCAGCTGATCGATGTTTCTAACTCTCTATTCCTCTCCCTTCCTCTCTGTAAAAAATCAATAAATACATCTAAAGAAATAAAAAATTAAAAAAAATAAAAGAAGGTGTTGGGCCTGTTGGTGGTGAAACGTAGAGTATTTGTCCCTTTTATTTCATATTTCTAGGTATTTGATAGCAGAGAGTCTGAAATTTCAGACTTATCAATGCTATATTTTCAAAGGAGATGAGTTCAATTAGAAAATTAGTATTATAAGTCCAATAAAAAAATTAAATATCCCTAAAAATAGTGTAAAATTTTATAAGAATCTGAAAAAAACATTATTATATACCCTGAATCCATAAGATAGTACACAATGATTAATTAATAGTTTAACAACAATATTGGGCTGTTCAGTTCTTACTTTATCCAGGTCATAAGTTCCACTGTATCTGGGTCATAGAATTCTTGTAGTTCAGTTAATTCTGTCATTAATCTTGGAAAAAACTAAAATGCAAAAACAAAACCCACCCAAAGTATAAGTATCTAGAAAGTTTAAAACTTTCCCAGAGTATTTGAAAAGAGACTTTTTTTACAAACAATTTTAGAACACTGTTCTGACAGGAACCAGCTCAATCTTCTCAACCCAAATCAACTATTTTATGGTTAATTTATTGTCTAGATTCAATAAGTAATTTTATAATTACCAAAGTAATTACTAGTTGTGTCTTTTATGCACACACATCATAAATAGTTTAATTAATTTATCTGAAGTCAAATAGTTCACGTTTATTGGTGATTAGTTTCATGCTATATTATAATCCAAAGAATTTATATTATTTTATAAATATTTACATTTGGAGTTGCCAAAATACTTTTTAATATAAAGACTGGTTTAGTCAGCAATTTCCTTTGCCAATTATAAATTGAATTAATGACAGTATTATACAACAGAAAATTGCATCAGATAGCATTCTAAACATATTTTAGCTTTTCTATCATGTTCTTAGTGATAAAAAAAAAAATTAAGCATTACTAATACCAGACTTTATTTTGTTAGGATAGTATTTCAATATAAATATCCTACACACATATCTACCTTATAAAGTTTTAATACAAAAATCTGATTTTCTTACCTCCTTCCATAAGCTGATACCTATTATAGTGGGCACAGCCATGCTCAGAATAAGAGCCTAAAATATGAAAGCAAAAGGGTTATGAATAAATCTATTTCAGAGTATACTTTAAAGTACTAGATACTACTCTGTGACAAAGCACATATCAATATAATTATACAAATTTAAGTTTGCATGAAGCCTAGCTCATGAAATGAGATGGCTGAAGACCAAGGATAAATTTAAGACATATCCCAAACTTGAAGGTAAAGTGAAACATATACATTTACTAAATAATTTTGAGGCAGAACATAAAAACAGTAACACACATGTATTTCAAACAGCAGATCAATATTTGGCAATTTTGACAGGAATTTAAGTTAGGAAGAGTACACAAAGGTTCCTGAACTGCCACCTAAAACACTAATAACAAAAAGACAATGACATACATAACACAGACAAAATAGCTAATATACATCAATATACTAGTATGCTAAAATAAGAATGTATAAATTTCTTGGGAAAAAACGGGCAAAATACAACATGACTAATATTAAAGGTAATTATCCTTTGTCTTCCTTCCCAAGTCTTTCTCCTTACTGTCCCGTGCTCACTGGTGAGCCCTTGGTCCACAGTCACATAAACCAGCAACACAGAAAACAACGATGATTTCTCCCTGTTCTTCATTCTCTCACACTCAACAGGCACCAAATCTTATTAATCTTCTACCTATTATTTTCCCTCCGATATAGCACAGTATGAATTGCATGGACTTTGCAATAAGAAAAACCTAGATGTGAATCTTTATTTCCAGCCTTATAAGTTTAGGCTTACTTAGTTGCCTATAAAATACTGATAATAAAACTTAGCCAACAGGTGTTTGTAGGGGTTGAGTAGCATGTGACATGCTTTGAAAAATACCTGCCACATGTTGAGCACTCAGTGAATTCAAGCTTCCATTACTTTCACCTACCACTGCCTGTACCTGAGTGACAGCATCTTTCCTGGCTCCAATCTGTCACCCGAAAGTCTGTCATTCACAGAACTGTAAGGGTGAGCGGAGAGAAAACTTAAGTCTGTCTCATACCCCTGCCTACAATCTTAATGCCTTCCTATTACCTACAGGATGAGACCTGGTGCCACAGCAGGACACTCAGAGGCCCCTGTGACTTTACCCTCTTCAACTTCTCCAGGCTCATTTCCTGACCAGCCCTACCTCGCCTCACATCTTATGTGCTAACAAAACTGAATGTATCATGCTCTTTCTTTTCCTGTTTTCATACCCATTGATTACATCATTTTTTGCCTATCTGTGTTTATTCCTTCTACCACAAATAACCTTTCTTCCCCCTTCATTTGACTAATAACTTAGCATCTTTCAAATGTCATACTGGAAAGTCTTAAAAACTGAAATAAGTATCCCTTCTCTATGTTCCAATAACATCAATACTTTTTTTAAAAAATGTTTCTATTGAGGAAGGGAAAAGGAGAGATAGAAAGAAAAATCAATGAGAGAGACACATCAATCAGCTGCCTCCTGCATGTCCCTACTGGGGATCGAGCCCACAACCCAGGTATATACTCCTGACCGGGAACTGAACCTGGGATCTCTTGGTCCATGAGATGACACTCAACCCACCAAGCTATACCAGGCAGGTGCATCAATATTTTTCATTACCTACTTTTATGATCAGGAGACCATAATCTACATGATGAAATTATTATGTTTTTCTTATCTTTGTACTCCAAGCACTTTGCACACAGCAGGCAGTGTAAATGCTCCATTCACACTGAAAACATACCAGAGATCTCAATCAAACCAAGAGAGATATAAAAATTAATTCCTGATCGCCTGTCACATTACTGGTTTACTTTCTTTATGTGTTAAGTTGTCTGCATTAAAACACATTTCTTTCATACTTAGAAATTATTTTAAAAATGTATTTACAGGATCTCTTTCTACCTATAAGTTATAATGTGATTTACTCACGCTATTTCAATGGTATTCAATGTGGTTTCCATCTACATTAACTAGAAGAGAAACAAGCACTTAACCTAAAATAATAATGACTCACCAACAACACAGGGTGTACAGTTCGTAATCTAAGCCACTTGAAAAGTGTCGTCCAAAGTTCAGGAGAACATACTCCAAATGCTGCTAACATGCATACATAAGGAGTCCAGAGGTATTTCAAGCTGGAAAAGACAAAACGAGTTACATATGAAATATCATATGAACATCAATATTACAAGCTGGTTTCTAACTCCAGGAGATATCGTGCACATTGAATTATATGTACAGAATATCCCCTCAAACACAAACTCTCTGCTCTAGAGATTAGACCATTATGCAAATCCATGGATTTCTCTGAATCCAAGCCTTGCTCACTATTTTATTGCAAGAGCCTATCAATTAAAATCTCTATCTGTAGACTCTCCTCCAGCTCAACCAAATGCCAAATGAATCTTCTTGAAACATAACTATAAGACTTCCTTTTCAAAATTCTAATGGCTCCCCAGTGCCTACTGAAATAAGTGAAAACTCACCTAAATAATTTTTAGGACTCTCTAAAATATGGCCTTGACTTGTCTTTCCAGTTTTTTCTCCTACTTACATCTCTAAATATGATAATTGTTCCAGACATTTTGCAGAACACTCTCAATGCTGCCATCCCATAATGCATATGTGTTTCCCTTATATGTACAAATGTACCCCTCTGCCTTAGACTCTGATTCCCATTACAGCCAGACTTCTTGAAGTCCACACTCACCTTTCTTTTCTCACCTTCTACTCATCTGATCACATCTTCCTTTAGAAAGTCCTCCTTTGGCTCTGAGTTGCAGCTCTTCCTATGGTCCCTCCACCAGTCCCGACTGCTATTCATGCAGTTTCCAATTCCTAAATACTTTAGTTTTTAGCCCTTTCCTCCATCTCCATTGTTACTCTCCTCTAAATTCTACTGTGACACCTTCTTAATGGTTTCTTTTCTTCTAATCTTGTTTTGCTCAAATCTTTCTCAATTTTTGCTGCCAGAGAGATCTTACTAAAATCTGATCCTGTCAAATTTTGGCTTTAAACCACCTAATCTGGTCTCTGTTTCTTTTTCTAGACATTATCTCTTACTACTTACCTCTTATAGTTCCCAAAAAATACTTCTTCCCAAATTACATATACACAAGGAGAGTGACAGCCGGGCCAATCTCTATTTCTCTCTCAATACTGTCACCCCTTTTAGGAAATGTTCCTGAAACTGCACTCTCCTACCCACCTCCACAAGTAATAGTAAATGCCTTTGTGAACTCCAGTTAGGTTAGAAAAGTTTATAGAGCCGAAACCGGTTTGGCTCCGTGGATAGAGCGTCGGCCTGCGGACTCAAGGGTCCCAGGTTCGATTCCAGTCAAGGGCATGTACCTTGGTTGCGGGCATATCCCCAGTAGGGGGTGTGCAGGTGGCAGCCGATCGATGATTCTCTCTCATTGATGTTTCTAACTCTCTATCCCTCTCTTTTCCTCTCTGTAAAAAAATCAATAAAATTTTTTAAAAAGTTTATAGACTTTGAGTTTATTATATAAAGTTTTGCAAATGTATTCTTGAAAGTATCCACCTATTACCACTGGAAAGCACACTTCTTTATTTAAGAAAATAGGTCAGCCCTGGATGCTATGGCACAGTTGGTTGGGCATCATCCATGTATTGAAAGTTTGCCGGTTTTATCCCTGGTCAGGGCATATGCCCAGATTGCAAGCTCGATCCCCAGTGAGGGGCATGCAGGAGGCAGCCAAACAATGTCTTGGTTTCACAAGGATATTTCTTCTCTCTCTCTCTTTCCCCCTTCCTCTCTCTCTAAAAACTCAAAAAAAATATATTTTTTAAACTTTTTAAAATATATTTTTATTGATTTCAGACAGGAAGGGGGGGAGGGAAAGGAAGGGAAGAGAGAGAGGGAGGAGAGAAAGAGAAAGAAGGAGAGAGAGAGGGAAAAGGAGAGAGGGAGATAGAGAAAGAGAGAGAAAGAGAATCATTGATTGGCTGCCGCTTGCATGCCTCCTCCTGGGGGTCAAGCCAGCACCAGAGCATTTGCACTGACCAGACATGAAGCCAAGACCTTCTGGTTCATAGGTTGATGCTCAACCACTGAGTCACATTGGCCAGACAATAAAAACATACATTTTTAAACAGGTCAAATAAAGTACACTTACCCTTCTATAATCATTGCAAGAGAACCAAAAAAGATGGTGTGAATCACATGATAAATTACTTCTGGCCTTTCTCCAATTCGTCCGTCTTCAAGAGTAGCAGTTTCTTCCAGGGACTCGCCACTACAGGAAGGAAATGTGTTCTTTACTAAAACATATATTTGAAGAATAAAAGATCTTAAATTTCCTCATAAAAAGAAATATCGGTATTTCTGATCATTTGAAAGTATATTCTGCTAGTTGAATACTAATTTTCTATCTCCAAATCTTTGAAAAATGGCTTTTAGAACCTCAATGTAATCAACTCAATAAAGACTGAAAATGAAAGTTCAGAAATGTAATGTAAAAAATGTTTTAGGCCGAAACAGGTTTGGCTCAGTGGATGGAGCGTCAGCCTGTGGATTGAAAGGTCCCGGGTTCGATTCCAGTCAAGGGCATGTACCTGGGTTGTGGGCACATCCCCAGTAGGGGGTGTGCAAGAGGCAGCTGATCGATGATTCTCTCTCATCGATGTTTCTAACTCTCTATCCCTCTCTCTTCCTCTCTGTAAAAAATCAATAAAATATATTTTTTAAAGTGTTTTAGGATTCTTTCCAAGATCAATTATCACTCACTAGTGGATTGCTAAAACAATATAGTTAAATTGTAATTTAAACAACTCAACTCTCAAAATCAAGATGCCACACACAGTCCCCTTTTAAACATGAGAAATATTTTTAAAATAATCAAACTTTATAATTAAAATCACTTATACTACTAACTTCATTGAAGTTAAATAGAAAAAAATTATTCTTATGTTAAGTAAAAATCTGAGCAAATTATCAAGTTTGTGAAAGCTTACCTGATTACTTAAATATTACTCATATACTAAATCTGGATATTACATGTTTAGATTTAAAAACTTAAATTTATCTGGTTAACTTATAGTTATTTTTTATATACTAATGAAGAGAGAATGGAATTAGAAGCTCTAAAACAAATACACAAATATTGGAAGAATATTAAAAATAAGTGTTTTATATACTATATTTCCATAATATATTAGAAATGTGATTGATTCTCATTGGTACTTACTTAAATCTCCTAAAAATAACTTGCACCATAGAAAGAAAACAAATAATTAACACTAAAATATAGAAAGGTAGTAAAGAAGACTGTGTCAATCGCAAAAAAAATTCTTGAGATGGTGCCTGTAGGGATTCTTGACATAGGAGCCAATTCATTGTGAAATTCCTGTAGAAGACACAAAGCACATTAAAATAACAGGTGTTTTAAACTACTGACCATAAGAGTATTTTTTTTTTTATCTCGGTAGAAACTTGGATAAAACAAAACTCATTTCTTAAATCCATTCACTTATAACAGCCAGACCCCACCCTCTACAAGTGAAGACAATAGCATTTATGACCTCCGCTACAAACTGCTCCAATCAATGTGAAACTGCGGCTTTCTGTTCCCAAGGAATGCTGCCGTCTGCAGAGCCCAATGCAGTTCTGAGGGAGTTTCACTTTCCGTTTTCATCTTGAAGACAGTAAAAAACTCAGCTGTTCACCTCTACATCTGCACTATCCACTATGCTAACGACTAGTACATGTGGGTATTAGCTTTTGAAATGTGGCCAATATACACTCTGGATTTCAAAGACAAAAAAGAATTTTAAAATATAAGATATATTTATTTTTAATTGTTTATACATTAAAATAATATTTTGGTATATTGGATTAAATAAAATACATTACTAAAATTAAATTTACTTTTTTCTCTTTACTTTTTAAATATGGCTACTAGAAAATTATTTATGTAGCTCACATTATTAGACAGCCTGAGTTTAACAAACGTAACTCAACTGCAACCTCTTTTTTTTTTTTTTAATATATTTTATTGATTTTTATAGAGAGAGAGAGGAATAGAGAGTTACAAACATCTATCAGCTGCCTCCTGCACACCCCCTACTGGGGATGTGCCTGCAACCAAGATACATGCTCTTGACCGGAATCGAACCTGGGACCCTTCGGTCCACAGGCCGACACTCTGAGCCAAATCAGCTAGGGCCATGTCTTTTTCTTAAAACATATAATACCTTGTGAAGTAAGTCTAGAAGCTGACATGCTAAATTAAGGGGCTGACATAATATCTACTAAGAAACAAGGACAAAAACAGCCCTTAATCTTAAGCTCATTCTAGAGTTTTCCAAGGTTAAAAGGAAAGAAAGTCAGTGAAACTGGCAGAAAATTACAAATGTCTACAACCAATTCTTACTAATTGCTTGCTATGTATAAGGACCATAAACACTAATATGAATCAGGGCTTTCTAATATAGAACATAGCCTTTTAAAAGATCATTTTATCTTATACATACATATATGTCTTACACTTCAGAAGATTTCTCCACTGTTTAAACCATGTCAAGTATTTTATTAACTGTGATATATCACAACATGAAATTACATGCATAGTATCTAAAATCCCATGTAATTGCAGCAAATGATAACAGAGTTCTGAGGAATATTATATGAATTAGAGAAATGTGCAGGTAAAAATAATTTCCTGTTATGTAAATACTCTGTAAATATGTAAAAGCATGTATTTCATTTTAGGCTTTAAAAATGCATTTAATAAACAAAAAACAAAAAAAGGCAAAACACTATTCTTGAATTTTAAAAAACATCAGCTTCTTAGTTGTCCTCTTATTGGAGCAGGCAGCATGTCAGTCCCCTAAAAAGTCAGCTTCTCCTCCAATCACCATTTTAACACCAAGATGAGATTCTTCGTTATGAAATAAATATCTTACTGTCTAACCCCTTTTTTGTGCCCATACCCTTTTTAAAAACATATCTTTTTCACTGATTTCAGAGAGGAAGGGAGAGGGGTAAAGAGCTAGAAATATCTATGATAAGGAGAATCACTGACCGGCTGCCTCCTGCACACCCCACACAGGAGACTGAGATCTCAGCCCGGCATGTACGCTAACTGGTTCACAGGCTAACCATTGAGCCATGCGGGCTTGGCCACATACCCTTTTTCAAGTAAGCATTTTGCCAATGTAGTAGTTAAAATTACTGTGCTTCTTTATAATCTTTCATTTATTCTGACCTTAGATGACATCATTGCTCCTTAGCAGGGGAGAAAGTAACCTCTAAATATTTTGAAGACATTGAGGTTGAGGTGATTCTAATTTCAAGAAGACCTAAATGAGAATTTTTTTAATGAGAGAAAAGATTAATGTCAGATTATTTTCTAGATATAATATCCCAAATTATTTATTTCTCTAAGTGGTGTTTAGTTAGGTGTGTACTTCCTCCTTTGATTATTTTTGTTCTTTATCTTCTGAGTGGTATAGAGTTAGATAAACTTAAATAATCTAAAACTTACTTAGACATATTTAGTCCAAGTTTCACTTCAAGGAATTTCAGCATGTGCTCATTTTCTTTGTGTGGGACAAACGCCTGGAGGAGAAAAATACAAGTTACCACAAAAAAAAAATTTGCTATACTTACAATAATATGCTATTGTCCAATATTACACACAGAAAACACAGCAAGACTACAAAACAATAAACAGGAATGAAATAATACATGGTGTAACTGTGAAGCAAGGAGATCCACTGGCATAAGTTCATCACATTACTTAACACTCAAGCCTAAAATGAAATATAAGTTTTCAACCTTATCCCATCTGGCTTAAGTAATTTACCTACTCTTCCAAATATTTTGACTCATCTCAGTTGATTCCATGTATTACTTAATGTTAACTGCATAACAATGACTCTTTAAACTAAATGGAAAATAAAGTAGATGTAATTTTAAAGTACAGCCAGAAAATAACCATAATCCTATTTTCTAACTTAATATGCTAGGCATGATCATTGGTCAACTCAAAATTTTATTGTACAATTATCCTGCTATCTCATTATCCTCATTAAAATTTAGGTCTACAATATTTCATTACTTCATTTATTCTGCTACATAAAGACACAGAGTTACTTACCTTCATTATAATATTCAATGTTACTGTGAGAGTACACACCAAATGAAAATTAATAACTTTCATTATTTTAGCTACAAAAGTTCTTTTCTTCACATTTGGCTGCGGGGGGAGGAAGGGAATAAAATAAACAAAGAAGTGAGGCATAAAAAATTAACATTTTAAAAATTCACCATGAGAATGATAAAAAGGCCATTTTAATTACCTGAAGGCACTTAACAAGCATTAAGACTACTATTAAACTTAATAAAGGCGACACCAATAAAGCTGAATTCTCAAACTGCAGTAAATATCCCAGAAACAGAGAAAATATATAGATTTTATAAACTTCATGAATCTGTAGGGACAAAAATAAAATGAATAAAAGCAAAATGAATTTTATTGTCCACATTTTCATTAGTTTTGTTTAGATTTTACTATAATCACAAAATAAGTGCTCTATTATCATTTAGGACAATATTGTGCAAATGTTCAACCCGTTTTTTAATGTTATGCTATGTAATTAATTTATCACATCCTTCTGGAAAGAATTCTTGCAAGCAAAGCTAAAAGTTTTAAAACTAAGGACATCTAAATCTGCTGGAAGAACCTTCTGTAATCCCAAGCTTTGACTTAATTTGACATGGCTTACCTTGTTATTAAAATATGTCAGTGCAACATGAAACTGCACAAACCTTTAGCAGCAGTTCCCAAAATGTACCTAATGAAAATATACAGCCAGAGCATGCAGGACCATAGAAAAGTATTTTTGCATTTGGTCTATTTAACAATGAGCATAAGAAAGTTAAATTCAGTGTTTTAATAGAAGATCTTGCAAGAAAGTTATATGTCTTAATAGATTTAATCCTAAAATTCAATAGTATAGACGAAACTGGTTTGGCTCAACGGATAGAGCGTCAGCTTGGGGACTGAAGGGACCCAGGTTCGATTCCGGTCAGGGGCATGTACCTTGGTTGCGGGCATATCCCCAGTAGGGGGTGTGCAAGAGGCAGCTGATCAATGATTCTCTCTCATCGATGTTTCTAACTCTCTATCTCTCTCCCTTCCTCTCTGTGTAAAATCAATAAAATATAAATAAATAAATAAAATTCAATAGTATAATAATTTAACCATCCTAAAGTTAATTCATTTTATTTTTTTATTATTATTTTAATCATCATACGAGGATATTTTTTCCACTGATTTTTAGAGACAGGGAAAGACAGAGAGAAATATCCATGTGAGAAAAACTCATCGATCGGTTGCCTCCTGCATATTTGATGGTTTTTAGATACAACACTATAAAAACATTTATTCCTCTGATTATAAAACCACAATTTCAAAATGCCATTAATACCTTGTCACTGTGCTCCAATGAAAAATTATCTAGCAAGAACAGAGATATTGCTTGAAGAAACAAGAGGTAGTGGCTGTACTCCCACATCATCATGAACATGTAAGTTGAAGCACTCATCAATAAGTAGCAAAACCTCTAGGGAAAACAAAAGAAAGAAACTAAATATCAATAGCACTATTACTATAAATATCTCTGAGGTTGTTATCTCAAAGTGGCGGCTCTGTTACTGGTTCAACTTTAAGCTCATTCTTGAAATTTTGTTTCTAAACGTAATTATCAGTAAATCCTTACATAAACAGTAAGATCTTAAAGCACTCTAGAGAAAAATCAATGACAGTCCTTCAAAGCTCAACACCACACTGAGAATTTCAGAAGACAAAGGGAAAAAAAAAAAAAAATTCAGTATAACTTTCTTTCACCATTACCTTACCTCTTTGATGATGAAAGAAAGTTGTACTGAATTTCTTTATTATGTAATATTTTAAAGCAAAACCTGAAGGAATATGTTTTTTTCTTCTGTAGATTCTTTTAATTTTTGAAAATGAGTTGTATGTTAATAAACACTGACTTTGCATTCAAAAAAAAATAACAAAGAAGAAAGAATATTGTTGCTCAGAGAGCTATTTATACAAACACATCAAAACAAAACGTACAAATCTGAAATGCGTTAGTGTTATCCTATATAATAAAGAGCTAATATGCTAAGTATCAAACGGCAGAACGAATTTCTGGACAACTTTCCAGACAAAGCTGTGAGGGCTGAGGCTTTTGCACGAATTTCGTGCATCAGGCTTCCGGTTTTACATAAAAAGAAAATGCTATAGTTAAAAAAAAAAGAAATTAGAAGTTTCCTGTGCTCAGAATGTTTGTCATCATTGAACGTGGAAGAGAACACAGTACATTTTTCTGAGATTTCAAAAAGAAATCTCAGAGAAACTTTATTTCTTTTTGAAATCTTAGAAAGAGTGCATCTTGTTTTCCAGCCAATCAGCTTCAATAGAGGCCTTTCCTTGGTCCTTATGATTTCTTTTTCCAGGTAGGAATTCTAACCCAAGACAGGCAGGTTGTCAGTCTATGCCTTAAAATCTTTATTGTGAGTCTGTAAGCTTCATCTGACTGCCAAAAGGGTTTCTGGCAACAACAAAAGAAAAAACCTAAACTGTCAGGACAGACGCCTGAAACTCACCTACCAACACCCCATCACAGAAAACCAAGGCAAACAGAGACATGCAGAGCTACCATAACAGTTAATGCTGTCATTTGTAGACACTTTTTGTATTTCATTAATATTTCTTTAACTTGTGATGACTAAAGGCCATTAGTGCTACAGAAGTGAGAGAAATTGTAAAATAACAATGCGATTTTCAAAATAAGATAATATTCATATATTTGTCAAGTAACTGCACTAAAACAATATATGTCCTTTCGCCTAAAAATAATTTATTGTCAATGAGAATGCAGAATAACAGTGTAATTTATATCAAGACTACCTAACTATATCATTTATTATGAAGTAACTAAGTTTCCTTGAATTTAACTCATCATTAGCTTTAAAGTACTATGTACCAGATTTGTAATATGTCAAAATTGTGAGAAATAAATTTGTATCTTACCCCCCCAAAATTATTTGTATGATTAATGAAAATAAATCCCAACTTATGACGAAAAACAGCAACATTCTATCTTACCTCTCCATAAGTATTTAAGTTGCTTTTTAAATAGCCGGTAAGTGCAGCGATTTGACATGCAAAATATGGTAGTGCCCAGTTTTCTCTTAAAGGAATGGAGTATTCAATTCTTGTTGTATCTACCCTAAAATAAACCACAGATAAAGAGCAAAATAGCAAGACATTATATTTGTGTAAAACTATACTTATCAAAATAATTTCACACACATCTCATTGTTCTCCATAACAATCCTGTGACATAGACACAGACAGAGCCAACCACTCCATCAGCCCAGAATTGGGAAGCTTAATCCAGCAATCCCTGTTCCAAAGGTTCACCTACCACTGTCCCTCAACTCACAAATTCGTGTGTAAAATCTTTAACACTCTGCTCCAGAGAAGCTTTCTGGGAGGGAGGACGGGATCCTTCTCCTCTAGTCACAACAGCACAAACTGAGTAGACCCTCTGCCAATTACTCTCCACTCCTGCCCAGGCTGCCTCACTGCTTCCTCCCCAACACCTGGGCCACTCACTCTTCCCCTCCCCACGCTTGCAGTGGGGACCAGTAGGCTAAAATCAATAAAAGCAAATATATATATTTTGAGAATGCTTCAACTGCCAAAAAATACATTTTTTAATATATTTTATTGATTTTTTTTACAGAGATGAAGAGAGAGGGATAGAGAGCCAGAAACATCGATGAGAGAGAATCATCAATCAGCTGCCTCCTGCACACCCCCTACTGGGGATGTGCCCGCAACCAAGGTACATGCCCTTGACCGGAATCGAACCAGGGACCTTTCAGTCCACAGACTGACACTCTATCCACTGAGCCAAACCAGTTTCGGCACATTGTAACAGAATACTAGTACCTACGATATACTGTATCATTAAATAAGGCAAATTAATTATCATTAAATAAGACAATATTTCCTTACAATTCTCACTAAGGTATCTAAAATGTTCTATTTGACAGGGAGTCTTATTATTCGGTAATGCTGTTATTTTTACATGAAAAAAATTGCCTGCGCTTTCTCTTCAAATTTATAAGATAGATCTAAGGATTAAATGAAATGAATATTAAAAGTTCATTGCAGCCGGGACCGGTTTGACTCAATGGATAGAATGTCGGCTTGGGGACTGAGGGACCCCGGGTTCGATTCCGGTCAGGGGCATGTACCTTGGTTGCGGGCATGTCCCCAGTGGGGGGTGTGCGGGAGGCAGCTGATCGATGACTCTCTCTCATTGATGTTTCTGGCTCTCTATCTCTCTCCTGTCTTCTCTGTACAAAAATCAATAAAATTTATTAAAAAAAAAAAAAAAAAAAAGTTCATTGCATGTGGTAGCCAGCCTCCAAGATGGTCTGCAATGGTCCCTGCCTCTTGATATTAACACCCTGTAGGGGTTGAAACTCGGGAGCAATCAAGATGCCGGCTTACCACTCTTGTGTCATGGACCCCGACACCGAACTCATTGGAAACATGGCACTGTGGCCTATCAGAAATCAGCTTCACTCAGCCAATGAACGCATAAATAAGTAGAACAACAAATCAGTACTTCTCTCTCCCTGCCTCTCTTTGTAAAACCAATAGAAAAATAAAAGGCAAAGCACACGGCCATCGATTAATATCTGTGATAGTTAATAGTGATGTGTTTGATGCCTCTTCCTTCTTTTCATGAAGCTTATGTCATCAACCTTAAATAGAAGAGACATATCTATATATGCCAATGTCATTATATCTGAAAAAAGGAGATACAAGGTGGGTGTATTATTTTCCAATTGCTGCATGACAAATGACTACAAATGTAGTGGCTTAAAACATATCTCAAAACCAAAAGGTTGCTGGTTTGATTCCAGGTCAGGGCTCATGCACAGGTTGTGGGCCCAATAGCCGGTAGGGGTCATGTAAGAGGCAGCTGAATGATGTTCCATTCTCACACCGATGTTTCTATCTCGCTCTCCCTCTCCATTCGTCTATCTCTAAAAATACATTAAAAAAAATATTTAAAGAAACAGAACAACACAACACAGATTTATTAAATCACAAATCCAGCAGTTGGCTGGATTCTCTGCTCAGACGCTCCCTAAGCTAAAATCAAACTATCAGCTAGGGCTGCAGTTCTCATCCGTATTTATAGTCCTTTTATGAGCTCCTTTTTCCTTTTTCCTTAGTCCTTTTATAGTCCTTTTATGAGCTCCTTTTTCCTTAGTCCTTTTATAGTCCTTTTTCCTACTAGTGCAAAGATAGTTTGAAGCATGAGAAGGGTTTGCTGCTCTGTTGCTGGATTCAAATGAGGAGGAAGTGATTGGTTATTGGGAAAAATCACTTCCTCCTCATTTCAATCCAGCAACAGAACAGCAAACCCTTCTCATGCTTCAAACTATCTTTGCACTAGTAGGGAAAAGCTCTCCACTTTTAGGGGTTCACACCATTAGATTAAGCCCACTGGGTAATCTTCCTCCTTAAGGTCAACAGTGCATATAAAATATAAGGGTCAGGGAGAGAGCATTTTTAGAACTGACTACCACAGACACAGAAAGTTGTAAAACTTAATTAAAAACACCTTTCTTACCTGTTAATAATGAACCATGCAACAGTAAGCATTCCTGCTAGCCAGGTTCCACTCATAAGCCAACTTGTAACAAATAAAGCAGTAACATATATTCCTTGCAATCCAAAAACAATACCAATATAGAAGTATACTGGCTCAATAATCTCCTAATTGAAAGAAAATAGAGAGAGAATAACACAATTTCATCAATTAATTTTGAGGATCCATAAGTATGTGAGATAATAAATATTATAATAAAAAGAAAAGCACATACATTACTACCAGTTGCTTGATATAAAACACTGGCTATAAGTTCTGGATATAGAGACATTTGTTGCACTGCATTTATAGTCCTCAGAGATACAGTTTTATTATTATGTGTCAGTTCGTAAACACCTAAAGACAGAAACATTTTTCTCTAGGTTATTTATTGTGTTTTTATGATAACTAAACATGTCAAATGAAACATGTGTCTCATTTTTCCAATTATTTTATTAAGTACAAGGAAGAACAATATCTATATTCTGAGACAAATCTCTACAATCAAAGGCTACAGTTCAGAAGAACAATGTTTTACTTTATATTTACTTATTTAACCTCACTTAAGGACATGCTTAGAGAGAAGGAGGAGGAAGAGAGAGAGAGATTGACATGAGATTGACAAGTGGTTGCCTTCTGTACATGCCCCTACTCAGGACAGAACCCAAAACCTGGGTATGTGCCCTGACCAGGAATTGAACTGGCAACCCTTTGGTCAGAATGATGATGCTCAACCAACTGAGCCACTTTGGCTGGGAAGAAAATCTTTTACTTTATAAAAATATTGTTATTAAAAATGTAAATGTAGTTATCATACCTCTTCCAAATGAAGGAGCCTTTAACATATCTTTATAATAAGAGTAATAAATGGCACTGTCACCCTGGAATGTGATTTCTCGTTCAAGCTCCTAAAAGAAAATATGATTATTTAAATACTAGTGTCCTAAATTTCAACCGCTATCTTCCTTCTCTCTCATCTTCTAAACTAATACTACTTATTTATCCATTTATTCAAAGATATGTTTGAATTTTCCTTTAAGTAGGTCAAAGTTTTGGGGGGTTTTTTGTGTGTGTGTTTTTTTTTAATGTTTTTATTGGTTTCAGAGAGAGGAAGAGAGGGGCAATGGGGTGGAAACATAAATGATGAGAATCACTGATTGGCTCTAGCCAGCAACCTGGGCCTGTTCCCTGACTAAAAATCAAATCATGACCTCTTGGTTCATGGGTTGACGCTCACCACTGACCCATACTGGTCAGGCTAAAAATATATTTTGATCCTGAAATTTTCAGATTGTTTCTGAAAACTAAAAAGCTGAGTAAACTCATCATTTCACTGCCACCAAAAGTCTCTGATAAATTAATTGTATGAAGGAAAATATCCTATTCTATGGCCTTAAAATATGTTACATTAAAATTTTCAAGGTTGAGCCGAAACCGGTTTGGCTCAGTAGATAGAGCGTCGGCCTGCACACTGAAAGGTCCCGGGTTCGATTCCGGTCAAGGGCATGTACCTTGGTTGCAGGCACATCCCCAGTAGGAGGTGTGCAAGAGGCAGCTGATCGATGATTCTCTCTCATCGATGTTTCTAACTCTTTATCCTTCTCCCTTCCTCTCTGTAAAAAAATCAATAAAATATATTTTTTAATAAAATAAAAAAATTATTTTCAAGGTTGATACTGTGAGTTTTTTCAAAACAGCTTTTACACCATTTTGTTTCTAATGGCTATAAATAAGAAAACACTTGTCTGTCATACTTATCACACGATTTGGGCTCCCTGGAAAAGCAAATTAGTTACATTAATATTAAATACTAAAACAACTCTCATATGCTCAAAAGTCTTTCTTCTTACCTGCCTGTTGGAAAACCAGAATTTCCGCTCATGGTATGCTGACAAATAAAGAGCATACATCATACCACTAGTAACTGCTGCAAGACAGCCAATGAAAATCTTTGCAAAGCGCTGAAATAATACATCTGAAAAAGCATATTAAAAGTAATTAGATGTAGATGATACTTTTATTTATGAACTTCTATTTAAAAAGAAAACATAATCAAAAGTTAGTATGCACCCTGGATATGATGTGATAAAAATGGCATTCTAACTCTACGGTCATCCTTCCCAAAACCCATTGCCCCAGTGTAATTCTGAGAAAAACAGCAGGCATATCCCAACAGAGGGGTATCCTACAATACACCTGACCACTATTCCTCTAAACTGCCAAGGTCATCAAAAACAAGGCCTGTGCAAGTCACAGCCAAGAGGAGTCTAAAGAGACATGACAACTAAATGTAATATATCCTGAATGGGATCCTGGGACAGAAAGAGGACATTATGTAAAACTCAAAAAAATCTGAATAAAATATGGACTTTAGTTTAAAATAATGTATCAATACTGGTTCATTAATTGTAACAAACATACCTTACTAATACCTTATATAATAAAGAGCTAATATGCTAATTAGACCAAACAGCCGAACGACTTTCTGGATGTCCTTCCGGATGAAGCCATGGTGGCAAGGGCTGAGGCAGAGGTGGTTAGGGGTGATCAGGGAGGCAGGCAGAGTGATTAGGGGCAATCAGGCAGGCAGGCGAGTGGTTAGGAGCAATGAGGCAGGCAAGTAGAGTGGTTAAGGGCGATCAGGCAGACAGGCAGGCCAGCAGTTAGGAGCCAGCGGTCCCAGGTTGCGATAGGGATGTCCCAGATTGTAAGAGGGTTCAGGCTGGGCTGAGGGGAACCCCTCCCTGTGCACAAATTTCATGCAACAGACCTTTAGTTAAATAATAATAAGGAAAACTCCATTGGGAATTCTATACTGTCTGCTCATTTCTTCTATAAATTGAACATATTTTTAAAAATTCAATTCATTTAAAAGAGAAATAGAATGTACTACCATACCAAATATCTAAAGAAAAAAATAGATTCAAATTGTAAAAAAAGAAAATAAAATGTACAATTCAATAACTTTTGATGATTATGTATTTAAAACTTCATATACAACTGTTATGTATATGTAACAACTTCTTGATGAAATCACATAAAATATATTTGGATTTTCTACACACAGGATGATTTAGTCCTGCTATAGCTATTAAGATTAAATATAAGCATGGGCCTAAGGCCCAAAGCCTAGTGTTATGCTACTGAATGACTGGAAGTTTATAAAAATCAACTTGTTGATTTATTTGTTTAGATAAACTAAAATCATAGTTATTTTCAATATATTATTTCATAAATGTTAATTTGCACAGGATATTAGAGACATTAAAACCTATTTAGATATCACTAAATTATTTTGAATTATAATAAAAATGCTTGAAAAACCATAGCCAGTAATCCAAATATTAGTATCGTATGATACAATTATTTTAACATTACTGTTTACAATAGTATGTATAAAGCACCTGGCAGATAGTAAGAACTCAATAAAAACACATAAAAAAAACTTATATATTGTGGCAGTTTGGCAAAAGTTCTTCAAAGTTTCTAAACATGGTGTGTTTTTTATTTTTTATTAAGTCTTAGACAATAGCAAGCTAATCCTATCAAGTACTATTAGAAACAATACATTCAACCAAATCTTATACAGACACTCCCTGACTTAGTGTTTCTACCTTAAATTTCCTGTATTAAAGTGTGTTGTAAATGAGTGAGCTTTAGAGGTTGTTCTATAGTAAAACCTAATGGAAACTGACTGGTCCCACCACATCTTAATCAGAAAATGTTTCTACATTTAAAATATTAATGTAAAAAGTACTACCTAGTATTACTGTAGTTTTGTAATAGTGCAAAAACTCCAAATCTATTTAACTTACGTTTTGGAGCTCTTTCAGGAACTGGAGTGTCACTGATTTTCTCTTCTTTGGCAGATTCTTTATTTTCTGAAGATTTTGGCTTTTTTCTTTGGCGCAGTTCTATAGCTGGTCCTTAAAATATTTGAAAAGTTATTGCAATGTGTATCAAATTATTCTGACTGTATCCCAAATGATTAACTTTCATTATACTAAGGTGAAAGTCACACAAACATCTATCAGTACCAAAGAAAACTTTTTCATTATTTTAACACTCATCACGAAACTGTTTTTCCTCCAAACAAAAAGGACAGTATCGGTTCCACCTTCAACAAGTGCTTTCAGAGTCTTTTTAAAAATTTTTTTATTTTATTTTATTGATTTTACACAGAGAGGAATTGAGAGGGACAGAGAGTTAGAAAAGTCGATGAGAGAGAAACATCGACCAGCTGCCTCTTGCACACCCCCAAATGGGAATGTGCCCGCAACCAAGGTACATGCCCTTGACCGGAATCGAACCCGGGACCTTTCAGTCCGCAGGTCGACGCTCTATCCACTCAGCCAAACCTGTCCTAGCATCAGAGTCCTATTGATAGATAAATGAGCTTTTCTCCAGAGAGGAAGGTATTTTCACAATATCACAATATTTCAAAATAAGTAAATTATTTTTCATGATTGGGAAACAAACTGTTATGTAATAAATTAGCTTATTATTCTAGTAACCTATTAGGTTAGCTGCATAATTCATGGAATAATATTTTAATCAAAATATAATAATATACATTGACCATACTATACCTCATTTTTTATTTATATTTTCAATGTATTTTTACTGATTTCAGAGGAGAGAGAAATAAGAACATCAAGGATGAGAGAGTCATTGATCAGCTGTCTCCTGTATACCCCACACTGGAATTGAGCCCACAGCCCAGGCATGTGCCCTTACAGGAAACTGAACTATGATATCTTGGCCAACCTCATAGGTCAACGCTCAACCACTAAGCCATGCCAGTTGGGCATCTTATTTTTTTACTTTTTATTAATTGATTTCTACAGTGAGAAATGTGGAATTGTTGTTCCACTTATGTATGTATCATCGGTTGCTTTCTTGTCTGTACCCTGACCGGGAAACAAACCCACAACCTTGGTGCATCAGGACAACACTCTAACCAACTGAGCCACCGGTGGCGCATTGCGAAGAAAAAAAAATGACAGTAACAGCCACAAAAATAACCTGCTATTTCTGGTGCAGTGACCTTTACATGAGATAGTAGGAATACAAAGAGGCCTGCAAATGCCCATCCAGAATATAGCAATTTCCACGTGAAGTGTTACTACTGCTCTACTCAAGGCTGTCACTTCCTTCTTTGCTCTGACGTTTTGTTCAGGAAGCATAAACACCCTGACCCCTAGCAGCAAAGAAGACATCTTTTGGAAGATGAGATTCCTAAATAGAATTTATTTAGAGAAAAAGTGGGACAACGAAGAGGATTCAAGTGAATAAGAAGAAAAAAAAAAAGATACAGAGTACATGGGAATACAAGTAAACTTAGTCTAATTTTAACACAAGTGAATACAAAATAACATGTGTTTTGGGGAGGAAAAGGACTGAATCCTACCTAAGTAAATGTAAAAGACTCAGAATGCCTGGCATACAGACATGCCTGTTATAAAAAGCATTACTAGCATTACTATAATAAGAATTCAATTATTCACCGGTGACCATTTCATCCCAGCACCTACCACAATAAGGATCCAATTATTTATGTAACTTAAAAATGTGTTACCCTGGCTGGTTTGGCTCCATGGATAGAGAGTCTTGACACCTGAGGACTGAAAGGTCCCGGGTTTGATTCCGGTCAGGGGCTTCATGCCTGGGTTTCGGACTCGATCCCCAGTAAGGGACATACAGGAGGCAGCTTATTGGTGGTTCTCTCTCATCACTGATGTTTCTTTCTCTTCCTCTCCCTTTCTCTCAGAAATCAATAAAAAAAAAAAAAAAAAATACTTAAAAAGAGAAGCAACCCTTTAAAAACAATGTGTTGAGTGAAACTATATTTTAAATAAACTGCATCGATTGTTTCATATAAGATGTATTGCTTTGAAATACCTGTAATTATACAACCAAAAATCATTTTTCACTTTATATCACATAAGTTAATTTTTACAAAATGGTATGGTCTTTTTTTTTTTTTTTTTTCCAGAGAGATGGAGAGGGAGTGATAGAAACATCAATGATTAGAGAATCATCAATCACCTGCCTTCTGCATGCCCCCAAATGAAGATCTAGCCCACAACCTGGGTATGTGCCCTGACACGGAATCAAACCATGACCTCGTGGTTCACGGTTCCATGCCCAACCACTGAGCGACATCAGCAGGGCAGTATGGTCTTTTTAATTGTGTAACTATATTGTCATTTTATGTGATGCATAATATTAAAGACTTTTAGTAACCTGTTATTAGGTTTTTTTAAATTTATCTTTATTGTTGAAAGTATTAACAGACTCCCCTCCTTCTCCCTCAATGACCCCTTCCCTCCCACCCTTCCCTCGAGTATTAACTCAGCGATTTTCAACCCCTTTCATCTCATGCCACACATAAACTAATTACTAAAATTCTGTGGCACACACAAAAATACATATTTTTTGCTGATCTGACAAAAAATAGGTATAATTTTGATTCGTTTACACCAGACGGCTATTATTGTGTTGGCTGTTGTCATTCTTTTTCCTTGACAATCTAAGTAAAAAAGCAGTCAGTGCCGCTGACTAAGAGTCAGTTATTGCATGTTTTAAAAATTCTTGCAGCACACCAGGTGAAAATTGCTGCTTTAACTCGAGCGTGAACCTGCTCATGGAAACTTATAAACTAGTTCATCATCCTACCCCCACAGCTTTGCAATTAGTCAGAAAAGGAAAAGGAAAAAAAAAGTCAAGACATGTTTTAAATATACTGCAGCCGAAGATTAAAAAAAAAAAACCAAAAAAAAAAAAACCAAGGCAACAAATGAAATTAGATTCTTCCTCACCAACCACAAATAGTCTTGCTTCTGAAGCTGTTTTTAGGTAGAGTGTCTTGTCTTACATTTAGATCAGTTTTAACACTCTGGAAACTCAAGGA